CAATAATTAAATGGGCGATACCCAAACTTAATCATTTCACGTTTAAGCGATTTCTAAAGTCTCTTTAATCACTAAAACTAATTTTTCTTTCATTTTACTCAATTTCATAGCTTATTATATTTAACCCCTTCAATAAAATTTAATTTAATCTAACAATCTAACAACTATAAAATTAAACATAATTTGACAATAAGTAACTTTTTACTTACTTTTCAAAACTGATAAATTCAAGCCTAATAGTATAGACCCCTTATTTTCAAACACATTGGTGAAATTTTATTTTATTTTTTTTCTTCTTCCTCTTCTTTTTTTTCTTCCTCTTTTCCCTTCATTTTTCTCCCTGCTCTCGTTTTCTCGCAGTGTGTGTTGTGTGTGTGTGTTTGTGGGACAAATGGATAGATATTGAACTTGGATGAATTGATATAAATCAATCCACCGCCTCCCTCTTTTTTTTTTAATATTTTTTTTATTAGCTTTTGACTTTTCTTTTGATTAAACTAATGTATTACAATAGTGGTGGTGGTGGTGGTACTGTTGTGGCGGCAGCACGGTAATGGTGGTACGTGACCACTATTTGACATATGGGACCAATCATTTAGTTATTTATGACCAATAATTTAATTGTGATCTAAGATTTTTATAATTTGTGATCAATTAATTTAATCTTGAAATAATCTGTTCATAAGTGCGGGTTTTTGCACTTAATTGGGCCATTAAACATAGATATTTGTGAGTCTCATTAGCGATTTATAATTTTTAGTTGTTTTTATTATGTAGATGAAAACCCGACGTTGACTGATGATTTGAAGGAATTTATGCTAGAAAAGATGAAAAAGATAAAGAGAAACGAAGGGGAATTTTGAAAAGTCAATTTCTTCTTCTCTTTCTTGTTTCTTTTGCTTTTCTTTTTCCTTCTTCCTTTTACCTACATTTTCTTGAATATTTTGGGAAAGATTGGAGCATGTTGTTGGGTAAATAGCTTGGGGAAGAAGATCCATTGATATAGAATATTTTTCAACAAATTCTCTCTTTATCAATAAGTTTTTCTTTTTCATATTTTCCATCAATGTTTTGTAAGACTTTATTAGTTATTTGTGAATAGTTCATGGTTATCTAAATATATTGGTGATTGGGGGTTATTTCAAACCCGAGTTATGATTTTCAATTAATTTGTACTTTATAGTTCTCTTGATTGATGTGTTTAATCCATTGTGTTAAATGTTAATTTTGTTATTCTTGATTGTTTAGGTGTACAACTAAATGATTGAGTTGTTTCAATTGATACTATTTTGGGATTTATAGTACGTAGTAGCTATTTATTCTAAAAATTGTAACAATTACATTTCGATAGACTATGAAGAATTTTCAATTGAATGTATGTGTATTAACACTTAAATGAGTAAACTGAGCTTGTGAGTTTGCCCTTAATTCGATTCATCACTTTTTGTCATAATGCATTTGTTAAATTAAATCTAGAGAGCTTGTTCTAGGTTTAATGAATAGGGTTGAGTAAAGAGCTTGTTTTATTTAGCTAACATGTAAGAAGAGATTGAGATAATTGAGTTTGTAATTATTCTCGAATTGTTTTTAATCTTGAGAACGAAATTTTTTCTCATGGTGGTGAAATACCACTCAATCACATTTTCTCGTATTCAATCAAAAATCACTTTGTTTATTTCAAATTTCAAGTCTTTTCTATTTTGAATTTATTGCTTTCCTTAGTTCAACGAACCAAACCCCCCCTTTAATCTATTTAGTATACTACAACCCAACCCCCCCCCCCCCCCCATTTAATCTATTTAGTATACTATTGTTAATTTTACTTTTTAGTGTGCAATTGATATAATTGGTTCAATTCTCTGCGGAAAATGACTCTCACTTGCCATATTACTACTCAAGACGGCATATTTAAGTCAAGTAAAGAAAATTAATTGGAACATCGTTTGGAACGTATCATCTGTGACATCTTAATTTTTTATTTGGGATCTCGAAATAAATTGTGAGCTATAAAATATTTAATTTGTGACCTCGAAATAATTTGTGACTAATTAATTTGATGATATGTGACCAATAAATAAATTTTAAACTATAATTGTGTATTTGTGACCATTAATTCTATAACTGTGATTTTATTATATTTAATTAATAAATATTTTTAATTAATTAAATATATATTTGAATTTTAAATTTTCAAACTATTTACCTGACTTTTGAATTAGTGTAATAATACACCTGTGTTATGAATTTCTCCAAATTTTAAGTATATTAAAGTTCATAAAATTGAAAGACCCATCTCATTTTTTAAATAAAATCATAATTACTCAATTATTCATATTTAATTAGAGATAATTAAGTGATTACCAAAATTAGTCACGAAAATTCCCCTATAAATAAGACTAATAATCTATAAGGACGAGGAGAAAAAAGTGAAAGCGCCGAAGACAATCACAAAGTGCTGAAAAAATCCCAAAGTCAAAGGAAAATAAGAAATCCTCTCAAATATAAATTCGGTGAACCCTAAGAAGATCAAAGTCTTCTTCAAATCAAATTCAAATTCAAATTCAAGTCCAAACCCGAGCCCCAGCCCCAGCCCCAGCCTCGAAATTCAAGTGTCGAACAAGTCAAGTCTCAATAAATCAAATTTTCAACAAATTCTTGAAGACCAGAATTCAAATCACGTGGTCCCTCATCTTCAAACGTTCAAATCATTAATCAGAAGTAGTGGTACTGCTATTTGTAACTATTTCTGTATTTTAATACATGAAATTCGTTGTACAACTTGTACTGAATAAAGCGATAGTAGTGGTACTACTATCTTGGTTGGAGTGGAGAGAGAGAGAGAGAGAGATAGAGAGAGAGAGAGAGAGAGAGTTTTCTTAATATTATTTTTGAAAGAACTTGAATTTTTTAACTTTTAGAATGATTTCATTGCTTTGGAACATGAAGAAATCAAGTTTATTGATTATAACTCACGATCATATTGATATAAGTTAATTTTATTTGTGATTGGTATCAGGGGCGGAGCCAGGAATTTTGTCCAGTGCGGGCAAAATTTAATCAAAGTCGAACTTTTCGAGTATGGATTTAATGATATTATGACAATGCTAAAAATAACATAACGACAATACTAATAAGATAATTATCTTCTTCCTTATCCTAGGATCTATAGCAAGTTGTGCAACATCAAAATTCATTTTATTCGATATCTTCACATCAACATTTTCTACGAAATATTTTCTTTTAAAGAACTCTACATTGACACTTCAAACTAAAATAAACCACAAGTGACAATTAAGTACTAATTGATAAGAAAAGAACTACTAATTTTTACAAATTGGTAGAACACCATAAAATCATTACTAATTGTTTAAATAATTGACAAAAATCAAAATTTCAAGAATCGATCACAAATATTACCAAAATTCAACATTCACATAATCAAAATCCTTAATATTAAAAAAATCACATGATCAAGAAAATTTTTGTTGTAAATTTGAGGGCCCAAAAACATGTGGGTTTTAGGAAAGAAATGAACTTTAAAAATATTTCAAAACGAGAGCAGATTTAAAGAAAAAATTTTAATTTCTTGTTGAGGGAAGAAAGTCAAAAAATGTCGCCGTGCACTTGGAGTTGGGGCAAATTAGTGTGTGGGTTGAACTTTAAATAAATGAAAAACATACTTTCTATAAAAAAAAAAAAAAAAAAAAAAAAAAGAAAAGAAGAAGAAAAAAAAGGAGAGAGAGAGAGAGAGAGAGGTGGTGGAAGTATAAAAGTTATTTTTGACTTGTTTGATAACCCAATTCATCATTTAATCAAAGTCCAATTTGTACATCCATCATTATCATATAAATCTGAACTTTAAAGAAAACTTCAAGTTTAGGTAGTATTCTACTAAAATTTATATGTATAAACACCATGATTTATCTTATTACTTGACATTGGTTATTTATACAGCCCACTTTTCAATCATTTTTTTTTACCTGTGTTTGTCAATTCAAGTTCTATGACCAATTAATTGGGTTTTGAATCATAAAAATGATGTTTGCTTTTTATTGTAAATTATACTATAGTCAAAATAAGTGGTTCTGTTTAATATCATTATGTTTGAACTAATTAAAATTTGGATATAATTGTTTAGCCATTTTTTTCTTTACCAAATCTATAACAGTTGCAACTAAAGAAAAATAAAATAAAATACAATAAATCTAATCTTGTGTGATAGAAATAAAAAAAGTGTTTACATTTTCTTTGTTTACGGTTCTATGTTGTCATTTTATTTAAATTTTAAACAAGTATTTGAATAAGATTGATGGTATTTAACACTCATCAATCAACTACCGTCCGACAAAAGTTCGGTTATGAAATAGTAACACTTAGCGAAATTCAGTGATCATTGAGTTACATTTTTAAGTTCAATGACACAGTAGTAACATATGGCAAAATTCAGTGACCATTAAGATATAGAGATTAATTTCAATAGTTGTGTTTTGAGATAAACATTTTCAACATCTATATATAGATTTCACGTGTTTGTTTTTATTCATTCATTCACTTCATAATTGCTTTATATTACTAATGCATATTTACTTCAAAGTTTTGTATTTATATGAAGTCAAGTACCATGTAAAGAGGGTTCAAAATATAAGTAGGATCTTAGGTCTACATAATTTGGAGTGCTCCTATTACGAAATGTGGTCGATAAATTGTTAACACCTGTGCGGGACATTATCTTATTAAGGAGAAAGAGTCGAAATCTTGCCTCGACCAAATTCATATTTAGGCATTTCTCTTTTTACTTTACGTATTCGATTTTGATAAGTCAAAATTCTATCAAATTTTATACCCATAAAATGTATGTTATTTGAATATAATTTATGAATATCTATTTTTCCATCATATGCAAGATAACATTATTCTAAGTAAAAAATGTGTGACAAAAAGTCACCCGCAAGAAAAATAAGGGTAATGCAGGAATCTTCGATCTTAAACTACATAAAAGTTTCCGATAGGATAAGCAACGCAGCTATTGGTCGAAACGCTCTCCCAGAAGATTTCCAAACGGGTTTTGTTTTTTCCTTCCAACCGAAAATTCAGTTCTAACAAAATATTTCCCACAGAATTATTTTCATTTTCGGGCGATTAATTAGCCGGAAAATCTGAGATTCTGTACTAACATTTTCAATCAAATGGCGGCGGCAGCAAGTGCCAGTATTTACCTGGGAAACATAGAGCACCGTCACAGTTTCTTCTCATCAAAGCCTCGATTCCGCCGCCTGTTTCCGGCCAATTACAGCCCACGATTCCTAGCCATGGCACCCAAGAAGAAGGTACATGCAAACACATATATATGTACTTGTTTTTATTTATTTGAATATTGATTATTGAAATTTCTACTTTCGAAGAGAAAATTAGGAATTTGCAGTCATTTTACATTTATTCAATAGCCTACAAAGGAGGAAAGAAATTGTTTAAAAAAATTAATAAACTACCAGCTCAATTTAGTTGCTTTCGTTTTAGAGAAATTCGATGAAATGGTGTATGTGCTATTTTTTTAATCAAATGCCTCATAGACGTACAATTTTGATAGTTAGTTGGAAATTAGCCCATTTGATTCTCATTTTTTAAGAATGAAAATAAAAAATATAGTCGTTATGAATCCACACAAAAGATAGTAAGTCAAATATGATGGATTGATGTGATAGATAACGGTTATATTTCTCATTTTTGTGGCCGAAGAATGGAAATCAAACGCGGCACGTCTTTTATTTGACTCTAAGAATTATGCATGGTAAAAATGAAAATTTGATTCGCATGTGAGTGAAGAAGTGTTGAGGATTGGATTTTAAATAAATATATTTCTACATTTTGTTATAGAGCTTTTCAGATAAGGTGATTTAGCAAATGAGTAATGCTACTTGTACATAAAGAGTTACGGAAAGTTTTAGAGATCGATGAGATGTTAAGAAGAGAATAGAGATTATTTATTTATTTTTTGGTAGAAGAATTTCTAACCCAAAATTCTAGTTGAATAAAATACACCTACCACTAGCAGTGGCATTATATTCTAATTGAAATTAGGCAAAATGAGAATAAAACAAGAAAATCTATAACGATAGAAATCGGTGTTTTATTAACGATAATAGATTTCATGTTGGATGCAAATTTGTTGAATAGGTTTCTTAATTTACAGAATAAGAATCAGATCACGACGTCTTTAATTTTTAGGTGAATAAATACGATACCGATTGGGCAAAGGAATGGTATGGCGCTGGAATTTTCTATGAAGGCAGCGAAGAGCAAGAAGTCGATGTGTTCAAGAAACTTGAGAAACGAAAAGTCCTAAGCAATGTGGAAAAGGCCGGCCTATTATCCAAAGCAGAGGAATTAGGATTCACATTGTCATCTATCGAGAAGTTGGGAGTGTTATCAAAGGCAGAGGAGCTCGGCCTGCTCAGTTTACTGGAACGGGCTGCCAGTTTTTCACCCTCTGCCCTGGCCTCGGCTTCACTACCAATTTTGTTGGCGGCAGTGGTGGCAATTGTGGTGATCCCAGATGACTCGGCGGGGCTGGTGGCGGCCCAGGTCGTGATTGGTGGGTTGCTTGCCGTTGGGGGTGTTGGTTTGTTTGTGGGATCACTTGTTTTGGAAGGGTTGCAAGAGGCTGACTAAAGGTGAAAATCTTGATAATTTGTGGTCTTATTATGTATCTCCTTTTTATTTTTCTCCCATCGTTTATCTTGGTAAGAAGAATGCTTTGGATCGAGTGATATTTGGAAATCTTCTTTGGTTTAAAAGAAAAGATATGTCAATGTATTTTATTAAGGGGCTGTCTGGGAGCTATTAATGGTAGATTATAAGCTGAATTTGTACCGTTATACAGTGGGCGTAAGTTGTAGTAGAGCCGCAATTTTGGACTAGTCCAAGCAAATTTACCTATGTGCCCTTGCAAATTTGAAATCATATTTCTTGACACAAGGATAACGTTAGTCATTTGGTTATTGGGAAGTCAATAATGTCAGGCGCAATGGGGCCCAAGATTAATGGAACGGCTATAAAATTACTTATAATTTTGTCAAAATCGCGCCCAAACAGCCACTAAAGCACGTGCTTCACCAAATTTATTGCCCAGTCCACCGTGTAGTCAATTGTCTCTTTTCTATTTTATTTTTATTTTTTAACTCGGTGCTTTTGTAAAGCTAATGCTAAATTTGTGGGTTAAATACCCTTATAGTCATTGAACTTTAGGGTGTGTTGCAAAATAAATCGTTAACTTCAATTTTTGTTTTCTGTCCGTCCACACTAGTTGATGAATAACAGATTTGTTTATTTGATTAACGGCTTGTCTACATGGTTATATTTGAATTTGATGTTAAAACATTGCGCCATAGCAGATGACTTCCCTCGTAAGAAAATTCTGCTTTCATTATTTTGCAAATATGCTATCCCCATTGACAAAATGTAATGTTGAGACTTTAGACACTTCCAATAAGCAATGAATGTAGATGAAAGGACGGATGAGAAATAAAAAACGAAGTTTCATTAATTGAAGCAAAATTAAGTTAAAGTATGAAATTGAAAGTTTCGCTCAAGTTCAGGGACCAAATCGATTTTTCTTGTTAACCCCACGTGTTGTGTAATATATAGTTGTGCTCCTTTTTCTTCGATATTGGGGATAATCAGTGGAATTCATTCCAAAATTTTCTTGTGAATTTGTTCATCTTCTCCATGGATAATACTCAACACCTTGTTTTCATCCCGTGGCCGTTAATGGGCCATGTACAAATAGTCGAATTAGCAAAGATAATTGTCGATCGTGAACCTGGGATCTCTGTCACAGTCCTCCTTATGCAGCTGCCGGCATATAAAGACACCGTGAGTAGCTCCTTTCTCAACTCTCTCCCCGCCACCGGATCCACTAGCACCGCCTCCGCCGCCTCTCGTCTCAATTTTTTGGAGCTTCCGCCGGCAAATCCTACCGCAGAATGGAGCTCAAAAACTCGAGGCTATTTTGTCCATAACCATGTACAGAGCCAAAGATCGAACGTAGAAGATTTCGTCAAGTCCCACAAACCAAATGTTGTTGGGTTTGTAGTTGACATGTTGTGCACTGGCATGATTGATGTTGCAGAGAAATTCCAGCTCCCTAGCTACGTGTTTTTCACATCTCCGGCGAGTTTTTTGGGTTCGATGATTCATTTTCAGACCCTTCAAGATGAGCAAATGCAGGACGTGACTGAATGGAAAAACTCGAATTCCCTCGTGTTGATCCCGACTTTTGAAAATCCGGTTCCGGCTAATGTTTTGTCTGATGTATTGGTGGACAAGGATTTGTGGTTAGGCCGGTTTTTGGACTATGCAAGGGGATATAGAAAGGCCAAAGCCATTATCGTCAATACGTTTGAAGAGCTAGAAGCTTATGCACTCAGCTCCTTCTCCCTCTCAGCAGCCTATGGTAGATCAATAGTTCCTCCGGTTTACTCGGTCGGGCCGATTCTAAACAGAACTCCACACCCGAAGGATACAGATGATTGTATAATTAAATGGCTCGATGAGCAGACTTCAGGGTCGGTGCTGTTCCTTTGTTTTGGGAGCCAGGGCGGTCTGAGCAAAGACCAAGTTAAAGAGTTGTCTCGTGGGCTAGAGCGGAGTGGCTATCGTTTCCTTTGGTCTCTTCGTCAGATATCAGCAAATAACAAGGATGCGGAGTTCCCGAGTGAATATTCGGATTTCGGGGAAGTTTTAACCGAAGGGTTTCTTGCGCGGACGGCCGGGGTCGGGAAGGTAGTGGGGTGGGTGCCACAGGTGCGTGTGCTCTCGCATCCCGCAGTGGGTGGGTTCGTCTCGCATTGTGGATGGAACTCCGTGTTGGAGAGTCTATGGTATGGGGTGCCCATAGGCACTTGGCCATTGCATGCAGAACAAAAGATGAATGCTTTTCAACTTGTGAAGGAATTGGGATTGGGAGTTAAGATTTGTTGGGATGATGAGCCTATTGTTACAGCAGAAGAAATAGAAAGAGGGTTACGGAAATTGATGGAGAGTGAGAGTGAAGCAAGAAATAAGCTAAAAGAGATGAAGGAGAAGAGTAGGATGAGTATGGAGCAAGATGGATCCTCGCATAGGTCTCTTGGTCGACTCGTCCAAGACATTTTGACTATCGGTACAAGCTGTTAGGAAGAATGAATCCGGATCCAACAGAAGCAAAAGATCACCACATTGATATCAGCTGAGTCAAGATCAAATGTCACTTAAACCGTCAAGTCAAGATGGGATATAAAAATTCATATTTAAGTCCGTGTGAGGAGGGTGTTAGTATTTAACTCTTGTTTCTAGTATTAATATAAAATAATATATATATGATAATATATTTAATGTATTGATGATGACATGTGGTGGTTGATTGGTTTGTCTTTTATGATCTTTTCGATTTAATGACAAAAGTTAGGTTTGTATTAACCTTGGATGTCCTCTTGTGGTGATTGATTAGTTGTTTCGTAGTGATGGATTGATTTTGTTTGTGATTTTCTTTAATTTGATGATAAGTCAGTTGACTAATTCACGCCCTCGTCTGGTCAAACAATAATTATGAAATTAAAACTTCAATCATACTACATGCACGCAGACTGTTGTCAGATAATTTGATAGATTGCGAGCTAACATAATTTCATTGGATGTTGGATAAAAAAAAAACAACAATTCCATTTGTACAGAAGAGTGCTTCACAAAAATGCACCAGAAAGAGAGTGTTGTGTGGGCCCATGTTGTGATAAACAATGGCAAAAAATCATCCCCCACCCTAGTACTGTCTCTTTTCTGTAGTGGTTCTGTGTGTACAACTTCTATACACACAGCACTGCAACAAAAAAAAATTACTTCAAACCAGTCAATCCAATATCGCCATCTCATTATCCATGTACATTTCATATGTACAAGGAGTTTAATTCTTATAACTTTACCAATGAAAGAAAATCAAACTAACAGATTATAGTTTCAAAAAATATTGAACAATAATAAAGCTCGAATATTGAATAAGATAGGAAGTAGAATTATTTTACAGTAATTGAGGAGATAAAGTTCCCCAATAAACCATAATATTCAGAACATGGTCCCTCTTTACATCTTTCTTTCTATCAGCTACTTCTGCATTTGTCAGTTGTTTACAATTTGATTTTCATTTCCTGATGATCTGTACCTGTAGCGTTGTGCCCAAAAGAGATAATTCAACAAGTTCAATCCACTTAATATGCACATTAACCAGTAAAACCTCTCCAAGTGATCGTGGTTGATGTTTCTGGCATAGAGCCATGGTGTGTGCCGAAATGAGCCAGTTATACGATTAACTAAAGCCACGAGCACTGAGCTCAGGTAATATCCCATGGCTAATGAAGCCCAAGAGAGAGCTGTTGCCAATGATTTTATAGTATTTGGTGCCTCTGTAAAGAAGAAATCCATCATACCAGCCAAGCTGAACAGATCGGCTGAACCAAGGAGCACGTATTGCATAGCCACCCAAAAGAATGTGATTGGAAGAGGTTCAGTTGAATCCATTAGGCCAGATTGTATTGCCACTCTTTTCCGCTTCATTTCTACTAAAGCTGCAACAGCCATGGCCACAACAGAAAGAACCAGACCAATTCCAATTCTCTGTAGATGAGTAATTCCAGTTTCGGTATTCGTTGCCTTCTGGGAGAATGGAATGATTACATGGTTATAGACCGGCGCAAGTATTATGATGAACAAGACAGGAAATACTGGAAGAGAGGCTGGTGGAATTTTAAAGGATCCAACTTTCGTGTTCATGGTGGCTGCTTGTTGGATGGAAAAGGTGGAAAGCTGAGCAAGGCAACAGTTGAGCATAATAGTTGACAAGAAAATTGGTAGTATCTTAAGGACACATTTCACTTCTTCTACTTGTTTTATGGTGCTCTTAAGCCATGGCTGGCGGGCCGTGGTCATTAGTGCTCTGTTAAGGAACTTAAGATCTTCTGTTAGAGTTTCAATTTCTGCCTTCCTTTCAGAATATTCTCCATCCTCTCTAGCCCTAGTTGTATATGATGAGCTTGTGCTAAAGTTTGAAACAACATTGCTAGAATTCCTTGAGATCCACCAGTGGTAGATTGAAGCTGCCAAAACCTATTAAAACAACAGAAAAGAGATAATTCTTCCAACCTTAAGTTGGTTAGTCTATGGAGATTCTGAAACTGTGCTAAAGACATACCTTAAATATAGTTGTAATAGGGCTTCCTGTTGGGATTTTGATCCTGTAAGTAGCTGAGCCGAGGAGGAAAATTGGTATAGAGATCAATATCGTTGCAGTTGAGATCCCAAAACCCCACTGCCAGCCCTTGTTATCTTCTATCCACACCACAAATGTTACAGCAGTCAGTGCTCCACAAGAGAGGCTGAACACATAATAATTGAAGAATGTTGATCTCTGCTTCCTTCCATGTAGTGTCTTCTCATCAAATTGCTCAGCTCCATGTGGGGGAAGTGAACCTTTTATTCCTCCAACACCTAGTGCCACCAAATAGAGGCCGGTGAATAACATTATAGCTTTCCCCCTGTCAACTTTCTCACATTTTACGTTTCGGTCTACTAAAGGGCATACTGGCGGTTTCAGTGAAGGTATTTGAGCTTGCACTGTGAGTATTACCAAACCCTGTTCATATATTTAGAGTCAGTCAAAAATATGTTATATGCCTCACATGGCTCAGTAATGATCTGCATTGTTGATGGACTTTAGTCCTGTTTTATGTTAATCCAGTGTGAAGAACCAATGAAATTGTGCATTTCCCTATTCTGAATTACCAATGACAATGACATCTGTCATATTCATGGATATTAGCGTTGAAATTGATAGTGCACTACTTACATCTCAACTCTCAAGCATTATAAAGAGCAATAGGTATATGAAGTACTAGCAATCCACAAATTTTGATTGGACAGAAACTCGTGACAAGGGTCTTGAACTTTTAATATCTTACACCTTCCACTCTCAGTTGTCATTTATGGAAATTATGGTTAAGTTCTTGTTTTCGCTAAAATATTTGTGTGTTGTTGTGTATTAGCTAGGTAAAACATTTTGATGTAATATTCTTGCTTGCTATTTCCTTGAAGTAATCCAGTATATAATTGTAATTTGTCTCTGCATGGGGTCATAGCACCTGAAGTAAGACAATAATATGCCCATAGAGGAGGCTATCTAATTCGTTTTTGTTTCCAGTTATGCCGGTACTGCCTCTGAAATGAAACAGCCTTGCTTCTTAAACCTGCACTTGATGAACCTTATTTATGCCTTGCCATGTGACAGTTTATATGATGTAGATCTTAATAATACTCTTCGAAGACTTATTATAATCTTTTCATTCACATCTTTTGCAGAAGAATACGAAATGTTTTCTGAAGTTATTTTATTGAGTATTAAAATTAAGGATTTTGAATAGACGTGTTGTGTAATATTAGCTGTGAGGCTGGGTCCTATTCTTACCAGAAATTCTGTCATTGCACTTATTATATAGATGCGATACGTGGTGAAGTAGGCGTCAGATAAGAAGCCTCCAAGGAGAGCGAGGAGGAAGGCCGTGCCCATGAAATTTGTGACAATGTTGGCTGAGCTTGATGGAGAGAAGTGCATGAATCTTGACAAATAAAGAACCAAGTTGCTCGCATTGGCCAGGTATGCTAGGTTCTCCAAGACCTCCACAACTAAAAGTTTGCAACAGGAAGTAAATTGGTAATCAAGTTCATGCTCATGTTTAGACCAGACTGGGAAGTTATTATCAAAATTTTAGCTCATTTCTCTTGTTTAATATTGTCCAGTTTTGTCCATTCTAGTATACCAAACGGGCGTGGTTACTGTGTGAAAAGTAATAAATGTGACTTTAGAGACTAACCTAAGATGAAAGAGGCAGCAAGCATGCCTCCATGACGGCCTTTTATGGCCGATCTATTTCTCCAATCTATGTAGCCATCCCACCTGTTCGAATGCTGCCCCTGCCCATTATCCTGCAGCATTCGCAAAGGAAAAATTGAATATCGTTTTGATGATGAAGATCCTTTAATGAAAAAGAAAAACATATACAGAAAATTCAGCAGAGTGAACCATCTCTATTTCCGACATCTATGGAATCTCTTGCTATGTGAACCCTGATCAGAAACTGTTCAGCCTAAGCAGCATCTGTGCAGGAGTTGCATATTTAAATACTGAGAGAATATGGTTGTCCTACCTCAATGGAAAAACCTAGATTCCTTGAAAGTGACTTTACATTCTCACATCCTATTTTCCTAATTATGATGTAGTTGTCTTTAAGCGTTGGTTTGTCTTGAGAGTGGGGGCACAGAGAGATATAGAGATTTCTTTAAGTTTATATATATATTTTTATTTATTTATTTATTATTATTATTTTTTTTGTTGTTGGAGCAACTCGCTCCAAAGATTGTCAAATCAGTGTTTTTTGGACTTAGTTTCACATCACATTTCTCTACCTAACAATCAATCCAAACTACTTCAATCCACAATTAAAATATTCACCTCGGTTGCTTCTCAATCTCACCCACAAATGACAAGATAACGGTAATAATTGGTAGCTACAAAGACAAGAAGAAAACGCCACAAAATGAGGCAAGGAAGAGACCACAAAGTGAAAGGGAAGTCACCGGTTTTGGCACCATAAAGGCACCCTGTTTTGCTGTTCTATGGCAGCCATGTTTTCTCCTCTCAAACACACAAATCACAAACTAAAAAATGGCTAGGGCAAGCGCATATAACTAGGGTTAGGTTAGGCTTTTAGTTGGACTAATAACAAGGCTAAATGGGCTAAGATTGAAAGCCAGAGGTAATATAAATGGGCCGGATAGAGCCTTTGGATTTGGTTGTTAATGACTATTTCACTCGCTGGTCGAGGTCTATGAAATATAGTCCCACGTTTAACATCATAGTTCAAGATTTATTGGGTATCAAAATCCAACATTTTTGTACAAAAGAAAAATAATAATAATAATAATACTAATAATAATAATAATAATAATAATAATAATAATAATAATAAGTAGAGAAGGGGAAAATCAAGTTCATTTGAAACTTCAATGATGTATTTTCATAATCATTAGTTCATGAGAAGTGAGGCTTTGGAGGAAAACTAGGTGAAAGTTACTAAGCTTAATAGCTTGATGATCAATTAAACAAATGATGGTAATGCTGCAAGTTGATAATCTACATAACTTTGAATCTGGACCTGCGCCACAATCTCTTTTCCTATATTGGTGGCAGCGATTTTAAGAGATTAGAACTGTCCTAATTACATTAATCCTAGTCTGATATTTCCTATAACAGAAAAACACACTTTCTTTATGTAATCAGGAAAGATTATCCAATTTTTTGGGAGCTGAGCTACTTGCAGATTTACTACTTACTTAAGAAAAAAGAACCTAGGTGACGGTTATAAGTCATCTTCCAGTTCACGTGGCCTTTTGTTCTTTACCATGTTCTCAGGTAGCTTTCAACACCTACAAATTTCTTCATGCTACTGGAGTCAACTGATAAATGTCTTGCTCATCTTGTGGTGTAAATTGCTTCATCGTTTTCCTTTCTGGGCCAATGAAATGAGTGGATGCTACATTGCTAATGAAGCTGTGAAAGTGCAGGATCTACGCGATCAGCAAATTTTGGTGGTTGAGTATTACATATCATTCATTTTCATGCACTTCTTAGTCCGAAAATTTGGATAGTTCAATGCGTCTTTTTAATTTAGTTGTGTATAGTCTCTTTAAAGAGTTTTTTGTAGTTCTATTACTATAGATCACATGTTAGTGGCCCCACTATTGAAAGGGCTAGAAAGGCTTAAGTAAATATCAGTATAATTGTACCACGTTGAGAATTTGATCTCTATGTTAAGGACAGGAGGTCCTATCGATAATTATATTTTTTAATATACTATTTGTACATAATGCGATATTTATAACGGTGTCCACCCTCCTCACATGGAGGAGGACCCACTTCGAATAAATTATATTTTATTCGAAATGGATCTCCCTCTATGTGAGAGGAGTGAATATCGTTATGAACGTTTTGATATACGTGTAGCATAACCTATATTCCAATCTCTTCTCCTTTGCAACTGGAATATGATAAATTTTTCTTTTGGGGTGGAGTGGGGATTGAAAAGGATCTTCCACAAAGGTTACCGAGAGCCTGGGTCCGATATATACCCTCTTACTTCAGAAAAGGGGCACTATGGAAGTTCCTTTCTCAACTATGATCTGACAAATTCTATACGGGACCAGATTGGCTGGAAATGTTAATTATATGCCTCAAAATTTGGTCAAAGATTTGAAAGATTGCATATTGGCCTTGGTTTTGGAAAGAACCAATTGGAACCAAGTGAAAAAGGAAAGGAAATTTTGTCTAGTGCCGTGTAACCCATTTTTTCCTTTTCTTTTACGTGTTTTTCAATAATTTCCATCTTTTGCCTATTTTTAGGGTTTGACTCATGTATTATAAATATATGGCTCCTCTTTGAGTTTAGAAGAAGCCAATATTGCTGTGGCGTTGTATTCTTTCTACATTGTCAATTAATAATACATCTTATCTCTGCGTTAATTCCTTTTTTTTCTTCTTTACTTTATACCTTGATATACTTTTATATTGTTGCAATTCTTAATACTTCATATCGCGTCACTAACTTCATTCTTTACAGCCCCTCGGTTCCAACAAGTGGTATCAAAGCTTGAATCTTTTGTGAATTAGTTGAAATTTTTTAGAGATGGCTGCCATGAAGTTTGATATTCCGCTGCTGGATCGCAATACAAGGTTTTCGTTGTGGCAAGTAAAGATGAGGGCTATTTTTTCGCAATTGGATTTGGACGATGTTTGCTGAGTTCTGAGAAGATGCCAACTAATTAGACAATGGAAGGATCGGAAGGCTTTGTCATTGATTCATCTTCATCTATCCAATAATATTCTGTAGGATGTCTTGAAGGAGAAAACTGCTGCTGCTTTGTGGTTGAAACTGGAGCAGTTGTGCATGATCGAGAGTCTTACTAGCAAACTGGCTCTAAAGCAGAAGTTGCATTCTCATCGCATGGCAGAAGGAGGGTCGTTGGAAGACCATATTGCTGTGTTTAAGGAGATTGTCGCAGATTTAGAGACGTTAGATGTTAAATACGATGAAGAGGTTCTGGCCTTGATCCTGTTATGTTCGCTGCTTGGTTCTTATGCGTCGTTTCGAAACACCATTCTGTACAGTCGGGATACTTTGACTATAGACGATGTATATGATGCTTTACATTCGAAGGAGAAGTTGAAGCATTTGGTTGGAGCTACATCAAGGGATGGGGAAGCTCTTGTATCTCCTGATGATTGACGGAGGGGCAGATTTAGGGAAAACACTTGAAGAAGGATTGTGAGAAGTTGCAGGCTAAAGATGATTTAGCTGCAAATCGTAGTGGGCAATTATGGAATTCAGACGAGACTAATGTGATCGAGGATTTTTCGGATGGCGGAGATGTGATGTTGACTGTGATTTCTGACGTGGAATCTAAGCTTGACGAGGAATGGATTCTTGATTCGGCATGTTCGCACCATATGTGTTCCAATAGGAATTTATTTCAGACATATGAGGCTGTTTAGCAAGGTGGAGTTGTAATGGGGAACAACGAGTCTTGCCGTATTGCTGGAATCGGTCGAGTCAGATTGCGGTTACAGGATGGGACGGTCAGAACACTTGGCCAAGTTCGACATGTTCTAGATCTAAAGAGGAATCTCATCTCGCTGAGTACCCTGGATGCAAAATGCTATAAATTCTCTGGTGAAGGTGGAGTCTTAAAGGTCCGAAGAGGTGTCCGGGTTGTACTGGAGAGACGGAAGAGATCCCAGTTGTACATATTGCAGGGAAGCGTAGAACCAGTTTTGAGACATCGTGACAAGTTCGGTACCGTGATGGATATACAGTTTGGTATAGTACCTCTTGTGACGGGCTCTGGATCGGTTCAGAACATTGCTAGGGAGAGCGTTGGTGATTCCGCTTTGTCACCAATTTCAGCGGATGCATTGTGTTCAAATGTCAAGTGTGGACTCATGGAGCGTAGGTACAATGGTGTTATTGATGTCTGTGATGCTTTTGGAATCGTTAAAGGTAACAGTTCTGATAAGGGGCCTTCTGATCAAGCACTTGGTTTGGTGTCTGCTACATGGTGTGCTTCAAACCTATTTGGTCAACAGTAATTCCTTGGTAGAATTTTGGGAACCCGAGATTTGGGTTCAGGTGTCGCTTGTGGATGCCTTGCAGAGAAAGATGGGTTTGGTGATGGAGAGTATTGGTTACTATGTTGAGGAAATTGGTTATTTCAATGTAGATGGATTTGAAATCTTGGAGTTTCGTTCGTTGCACCAAAATTTTGAGTCAAGATGGAGATTATTAATTAAATGCCTCAAAATTTGGTCAAAGATTTGGAAGATTGCATATTGACCTTGGTTTTGGAAAGAACCAATTGGAACCAAATGAAAAAGGAAAGGAAATTTTTCTTATGCCGTGTAACCCCTTTTTTCCTTTTCTTTTACGTGTTTTTCAATAATTTCCATCTTTTACCTATTTTTAGGGTTTGACTCATGTACTATAAATATACGGCTCCTCTTTCAGTTTAGAAGAAGCCAATATTGCTGTGGTGTTATATTCTCTCCACATTGTCAATTAATAATACATCTTGCCTTTTGCGTTAATTCCTCTTTATTCTTCTTTACTTTATACCTTGATATATTTTTATATTGTTGCAATCCTTAATACTTCATATCGCGTCATTAACTTCATTCTTCACAACCCCTCGGTCCCAAAAGGAAAGGCATTTCTGCATTCCTTAAGTCTCACACCAGTAACAACGATGATTTTGTACACAGCAATTAAAGGTAAGTATGGCCAAGAAAAATACTATACTGTGAAAAAGAATAGCTCTAATGAAGAAAATGATTGAGCCTGCATAGAAAAAATTAGGGAGTATACGTTTAACATTGTTCTTTTGATCTGTAATCAATCTATGGACCAACAATAGATGCTTGACTTTTAGTATTGAAACTTAGGCCTAATTATTGCCCATGCACCTAGTAAAGCTAACTATCACTGAATGTGTGATGTTTTGTTGATTTTGCTTTGTTATGATTGTGTTCATTGCACCATTTTCTGGAAGTTCTCTACGCAAGTGCTAAATTGGAATTCGCCACCACTGAAAGCTCATTTCCTAGATGATGGATGTGCCATGCTTGCCAAATTGGACGGCCACCATCACCTCTTGTGAATTCCGGTATGACACATTATCAGTGCCTACAAACTAGAGTTGGTGCG